TATCAAGAAATCTATATGAAAGCTAAGCTAGTATGAAAAATAAATTGAATAATATTATATAAGAAAATTTAACGTATTGTTATGCATAATTAAAAAAAAATAGTATTCTGCATTTCTTCTCTATAAAAACTACTAGCAGACCCGGTCACGCGTTGCTGTGGCTAAGGTTCTTGAATAAAATAATATTGCGACTATAAATTGAGATGTAAGCTATCCTATCTTTCAAGTTGGATCAAGTTGCACACAATGTACAAATCAAATTTCCAATCGGTTCAGTAGTTTACGAGTCCATCGGTCCATAGGACAAACAACGTGACACGTAATTTTTATATATAAAGATAGCTACTTGCCCCGGCTTCGCACGATAGTGCATGTATTATATATATAAACCTTCCTCTTGAATCATTCTATCTATTTAAAAAACCGCTTCAAAATCCGTTGCGTAGTTTTAAAGATTTAAGCATACATAGGGACGGACAGACAGCGACCGCGACTTTGTTTTATACTATGTAATGAAGTGTACGAAATTTCTCCGTCCGCACAATTGTAAAAATTGATACATAGTTTTTACTTCACGTATTAATTAACATACAGACTTTCTGCGTATATCCAATTGCTATAAAACTTTGTGAACTCGTTGCTCTAAATGGCACTAATATTCTAGGGAATTACGTGGTACAAGAGTATTAAAATATGAGAGAAAATACAAAATAAAAAATATTTTTCAATTCAGTCGTCTCAGACGTTTCTCTAGCTTCTATATTCCATTAAAAATATGCTCCGTCTTTGCTTTCAATCTGCTTTTCTACGGTTGCTTTCATTTATACAATGTCCTTACCTCCTTGTTCTCGAAGGTTCTTATTTTTCTTTAATAGTTACTGGATGTCTGATCGTTGGGTATTGGCTAGTTTATTTTATTTATTCTCTTACTTCCTTGTGCACGACGCACCTCTTTGTTTATTATTTATGTATTTTGTCTATTATTTTATATAGAAAAATATATAGGATATAGTCATTCTTGTTCTGCTAATTATTATACATTTGTACATAATATTATATTATTGCTTCCTAAAACCCGTGTTTGCATAATTACATCTACCAGCCCCATATATATGTACATACAGTCCTTCGTTCACATCCTGCTTTGCAATTATCTTGCACAATCAGGATTCCTTTATAAAATTTCAACCCCACTTTCTAAGAATATATGTTCGGACTATCCTCAAATGTACGGTAAAAGTACGGCATACTATTCAGCATGTTTACATAGTATAAAATGAAGTCGTTTCCGCTGACTGTTAACTTAAATCTTTTAAAGTAGGCAACAGATTTTAACTGCATTAAATTCTATTAATAATTTTGGCAATAGATAGAATGATTCAAGAGGAATGTTTATATGTATAATACTCGTACAACCGTGCGATGCCGGGATGGGTAGATAGATCAATTATAAGCTTTAAGGAAGAAATCCAAAAGTTTGTCCCCGTTTTAATTTAATCAAAAAAATTTTTAAATTTAAATTTTTAAGGTTTTAAGTTGGTCACCCCTGCTCTAGATAGTCTAGGTAGACATACTGCCTATTCAGACTGGTGTAAGACCAAAACTAACGATGAACGTTGTGCCCGCAATCAAAAGGTTAAATGACATTAGGTGTGCACGTAAAAGAAGATGGTGAACAGCTTTTTAGGTTTACGGTCTAGCTTTATGTTAAGTACACCATTGTACGGACTGTACATTACACTATTTTATAGATACGTAACTCGTTGGCCATTTTGTTTTCCTTTCAACCGACTGCAAAGTCGAAGACGTCTTATTGTTTCTTTTCTTTCACGATTTCATATGATTACCAATTTAGAATTGCATTTATAAATTTCTTTTCACTATATAGTATTTTTCTCGGACTGTACATTACACTATTTTATAGATACGTAACTCGTTGGCCATTTTGCTTTCCTTTCAACCGACTGCAAAGTCGAAGAGGTCATCTATTCTTTCTTGTCTTCCACGATTTCATATGATTACCAAATTAGAATTGCATTTATAAATTTTTTTTTATTATATCGTACATTTCTCGGACTGCACATTACACTATTTTATAGATACGTAACTCGTTGGCCATTTTGTTTTCCTTTCAACCGACTGCAAAGTCGAAGACGTCTTATTCTTTCTTTTCTTCCGCGATTTCATATGATTACCAAATTAGAATTGCATTTATAAATTTCTTTTTATTATATCGTATTTTTCTCGGACTGTACATTACACTATTTTATAGATACGTAACTCGTTGGCCATTTTGTTTTCCTTTCAACCGACTGCAAAGTCGAAGACGTCTTATTCTTTCTTTTCTTCCACGATTTCATATGATTACCAAATTAGAATTGCATTTATAAATTTCTTTTTATTATATCGTATTTTTCTTTTGTTTGGTTGAAACTTTTATCAGTGTTTTTCATACTATATAAATAAGTGACCTTCTTGTGTTGGAAGGTTTATGCGACCCCTAATTGTCTTTATGTTATTTTTTTTATTACTTAAAGGCCCATGTAATATATGCTTTACAAACTAATCATTACATAATATAAAATAAAGTCGCTGTCGCTGTCTGCCCGTCCCTATATATGCTTAAATCTTTAAAACTACGTAACGGATTTTGAACTTTTTTTTTATTAGATAGAGTGATTCAAGAGGATGGTAAATGTATAATATATGTACACCCGGGCAAATCCGGGGTGAGTAGCTAGTATACGTATATAATGAAAAACGATTGAGAGAAAGAGATCGTCGCGAAAATATACTTTTTATATACATTTATTTCTTTTTTTATAATTCACACCTTTGTAAAGAACAATGAATGCGATAAAGAACTGCATGTAAGTTGAATTCCCAACAGAGATTTTTACAAACTGGACAATAAACTAACCACTACTAGTTACCAGTGGACGCTCAGTGGTCGAAATTCGATCATAATTAATTAAAATTATAAGTTTGAACATTATTATGATTCTACTCTCAAAGCCTGGAGGAAAGGGGATTGTCAGTAATGTGGACAGATGATCTTATTGATAGCAATGTACTGTCAGGTTGCGTCTGGAAACCATCACGATAAATGCTTGGTGAATTTGTCACGATAGGCTAACTGACCTGACCTCATGCTCATCTTATCATCCTCCACTGGGCACCAGCGTAAACTGTTAGCATAGGCGGGTGCACTATTCCATTATCATACATAAAAAAAACTCTCAAAGCCTTGCATGTGCGTGTCAAATACATGTGTAATGTTTTTTATTTATTACTTATGCATAATTTAAAAAAAAAATTGAATTCTGCACTCCTTCTCTATATAAATTATAAATGTGCGAAATTCCATACTCCTTTTTCCGCGCAATTTTCATAAAAAGGTGTACAAAGTTTTTGCTTCGCATGTTGATATATAGATAACCTAGATATATAGATAACCTAGGACACTTGGGATGATCTAGTTCAAAGCTAACTTAATCTCCAGAATGTCCGTATACCTGAATTATATATAATGTCTATGCTCAAGGGAGATGAGATCGTTACACTATCAAACTTCATTTTAGGTCAATTAGCCAATGTTGAAATTTAATATCCACGTGGAATATGTACATATAATCCTACTGTGTGTGTGTGTGTATGTATGTGTGTGCATTTAACGTAAATAATCATTTTATCTATAGACAAGCTGTCCCGGCAAACGTTGATGGTAAAAGCGTGAAAATTTAAGGCTGTATGTATTTTTAATGCCACATAAAAAAAAAAAATTTAATGTGAGCCACACTTAACACGTAGAGGTATAAAAATTACAAACCATTTCTCAGACCTACTGAATATACATTTAAAAAATCCTCAAAATCGGTCAAACCGTTTCGCAGGAGTATAAACACGAAATTTTGTTTTCAGATTTTGTATGAACCATCCATTTCATAGTTACAATTAGAATTTTACAACTTATCTCATCATTTTTCGAGTAACTTTTCGATATGGTACTTAATTTTGGTTTAAAACCTAGTGTACCCAGTTTAGTAGACTTAAAAAAATACAGTTAGTTAAACAAAAAAATAAAAAAATTCTTTACTATTAAAAATTTTGACCGACTCCAAAAAAGAATTTTTTAATATTTGTTACTTCTTTACTTAATTATAAATAATTTTTTTATTTCATTATAAAGAGAATATACTCACATTACTTTTATTTTTTACTAGCAGGGACCGCGGTTTCATCTGTGTGAAATTTATAGACTATATCTTATTCATATATATAAGCTATATTACTGTAAAGTTTCATTAAAATTCGTTTTTACGTGAAAGAGGAACAAACATCCATCCATTCTAAGAAATTCTAGAGTTTATATTATTAATAAGATTTGGAGATTTTGCAGTCGGTTTATCATGTCACTATATTTATACATTTAAACACCGTTAAATTTCATCATTTTGTTTAGTACACAAGTAAATTCTATTGTATGTATGATGATGCTGGCTAGAAGAGGCCTTTTTAGTCTAGTTTTAGCATTTAATTACTTAAAACTGTTTTTGTAGCTACTTAAAATGTTTCTTTAATAAGTGATAATAGAATGGTACACTTGCCTGCCCAACGCTGCTGGCAGGCACCAATAAGGGATAAGTATGAAGTTAAGTTAGTTGTTCGCAAATACACAATGCATCGGGAGAAGTCTACTGATTTTGCCAAGATGAATTAACTGACTTGACCAGACTTACTCTCATCCTGTCATACTGCACTAGTGGCACCATTGCAATCAATGTACCTTAAGAGATCAACTTTTACATGGTGTGCCTTTGAAACCACTATGGGTCTTCATCCTCCATTGACGGCAGTAATCCGGTAGTGGTATTAGAAGCACCATTACATATTTTTTATGGATTATTCATATATTTTTATTATAAAGCACCCTTATAAACGGAATGTATATAAAACATTTAGTTACGACATAAAAGAAAATAAATAAAAAATAAACTTACAACAGGAATAAACTGTATGGATGCCATTTCAGATTCTCAGATACCTGTTAATTAAGAAAATAAAAGTAAACAAAATAAAAATAATGATGTAATAAAATATAAATTAAACAACTAAAAATCCAATATCAATACTACACTTTATACTATTATTAAGTATATATGTGTATGTAAAGATATTTGATACATTTTGATCTTTTTAAACTTAGGAGATGTAATTGCAAGTAATGTAATCTCTTAACTTAGTTTACTCGAATATTAACTGATAAAAAAAGGAGTAAAAGTTCTCTATTTCTCTTTTTAAATATTTTACCTCAGACTTCCCTCATTATACAATTTTTATAATTCTGTTTTTATTTGAAAACTGTATTTTACTAGCTTGTTTGGTCCCATATAAAATAAATCAAGATTTTACCAAAAGTTATTGGTAATAATACAATTGATGTTGGATTTGGTTGCTGATATATTGTATTATTAAACCAACTGAGATGATGGAAGAATTTCTAACTAATTGTAAATTTCTGTCTTTAACTCAAACTCCCTATCACAGCATACTACTCATCATCTTACTAATGATATAGCGTGATAAAGAACTATTATAATAATTTACAAAGACGAGAATAAAAAAATACAAAAACATTTGATGTTTGTAAAAAAAAAGTAATAAAATATTTTTACTTACTTCGGTGTCTACTCCAAGAAATTCAACGAAACACCTGAAATTAAAGTAATATGCTTTAATTAAGAAAGATACATATGTACGTACGCATTATTTATCTCATATTTAAAACGTACACACACCTTTATTTAATTACGCCGACCACATACTTCCATTTGTATGTTATTGTAGCACATTTTTAAGCCGCATTTTTAATTTATTTAATTTTTCTTTTAATTATTATATTAAATCGTACCAACAACACATTTAACATCGTATGTCCTTTGTGTTTTGATTTGAAAACAATGTTTTCTTTTAGAATTAATTTGAATCATAATCAGAGAACAAAAGACAGTTTCAAATACTGATGATGAATCGAATTTAATATTGTGTATTTTCACAATTTTCTTTTGTTTTGGTTTGTAAAAATTACAATCAATCAATCAAATTCAAAATCCTGTGATTCCGTTTTCCGTTTCCTTAATAAGTCATGGTTGGATTATTTCATGACTTCTCGTAGTAAATTTCAACCGTAGAATTTGCTACTAATGCGTGACTTGGAACGTAATAGACTGCGTTCGGAAATTTACGTCATCTAGTTTTTAATGATCTTATATTATTGACATGTTTTTATCGTCGATAGTAAATAAAAATAGGTGTTAAAATTATACATAAGCTGAAATTCATAATTAATTTGAAAATAATAACTGTGAAACAAAAAAACAGAGGACTGGTTTTTGCAGTCCTACTTTTTCTACTGGGAATTATGGTAATATTCTAGCACTGTAGGAACGGGACAGATTGTTTAAAAAGATGGTCTCTTTTATGCAGGGTTGCCGACCTTAAAATTATATATTATATATCGTCTCAGGTAATGGTTAAAAATCTGATAAAATTAATATATAATACATATATAATTTTGGTTGTATTAAAAAGTTTACTCATACTTTTTCGCAGCATTAGTTTCGTACAAGCCTCCACAGTATGATGTATCTCCTACCGAAAACCAAAAACAATTAAGTTGCTATAAATAATGGAATACAATAAAGTATTGAGTAATGATATCCACATATTCATATTCGTAGGTACGCTACTTAATTTGCTGTGTATACATCGTAGACGTCATCTATTCATAACAAGCCAAATATAATTAAAGCATTTTAACAGCGCCATCTATTATTTTATTAACACCCCAAATAACAATGTACATGGAGCATTTAAAATTAATAAAACAATGAATTCAAACCTTTAGAAAGCATTTTTTAAAGACTTATTGAATAATGTTATTCCATATTTAACATTTTTGTGAAGATTGCATCCTAATTCCGCCATCAGCTTTGAAAGCAAGAAAGAAAAATATTTTATTCAGTGCAATGTAAAAAATACAATACAATGCTTTAATGTGAAACTTTAATATAAATCGAGATACTTCACTTCCTCATATTATTATTTTATATAAAAATAAATAAGATTAAAAGGTAATACAAGGGGTGATTAGATTAATAAATGAAAGTCATAACTTGTGAGAAACATTTTATTTGCAGTTGTAAAAACTGTACATTCCTAACAAACTTATATATTAACATTATATTATGGACCTTTCGCATGGCACTGCTGACAATATAAGCCACAACTCGTCAATATGTTGGATTGTACTCCTACACCATGTTGCAACTTACTATTCAAAGTTTTTATAAAAACATCAGTCAATCATTCTGATTTTAAAAATTTGATCAAAAAAATTGTTTCGTTTTTACATATTACGATATGAAGAATTGTATACGTAAAGCCCCCTTACACAGAGTTTCTACTGAAAACCGTATTTATCTAAATTCTTGATAAAGTTTTATAATATCTTGTATAGTGTTTGAATAATATAATTACATTTTATTTCTACATTTATGGATTAAAATGTAGTATAGATTCAATATTTGATAATGTAGAAATACCTTTATTTTGTAAAAGTGTGTACGCAGAGATGGAACGGTTTTATTAATTATATTTTGTAATATTCATGATATGTTGTATAGAATTATAAATGTATGGTAGTATAGTATTCTAATTGTATAGAATGCAGGATTGTTGCATTACGTAATCTAGTTTCTTACAAAAAAATACGAAACAAATAATCTTTTTTATATATGGGGGTCTTTACATTGTATAATTAACGGTACATTTGAAAAAATCTGTGATAATGTAAATTTGAACACACAATACAACCGCTGCTTACACAATAAATGGGATAAAAATGTTAAATATATAATTTATATACATTTAAAAAGCACCTTTTTTGACACAGGCGTTAATATCAAATTATATTTTGGACACAATATTCGAGTCTTGTAGTACTTTTAACTTATATATGTCGCAAATATGAAGTGAAATTAGAATAAGTCGACTGGACTACAGCAAGTTGGTCTACAAACAAATTTTATACAATAAAAGAATAAATTAGTTAGCTTAATATAATAGTTTATAGAATATAGCGTTCACTCACGATAATCGTCATTTTAAGCATAATATAAATAAATTGATAAAAATATTGTTCTCGCTCTATGATCACGAACACTAGAAATAGATAATTCCTATATTTTTTTGGGTAGGTAAAATTGGAAATGCCCTATATTTCTGTTAATCAAAAGCACATCTTATAATACAATATAGTTAGTATATGTTTCACTAATAAAGTTAAATAAAAAAAACTGTTTAATTAAATTCCTAATTAAATAAAATTTTAACAAATTAGATTACTACATATTCGAATGGATTTTACTCGCTATGTTATACTCGTATTAACAATAATATAAGGGTCAACAAAACTAAAATCAATCTATATGTACATTAATACTAATTCCCATATAACATGACATTGCGATCGGACTAAGAATTAATTTGGAGTTTAAAACGTGAGTGAGTGAACTAAAACTAGGGTTAACACGATTTAAAAAAAAATGCAACCACAACTGACACTTGATTATGTAATATTGTTGCTAACAATTCTCATTTGAAACATAGAAATCTGCGATTATGTATAGTCCAATTCACAGTTGCAGTAACAAACGATTTAGTTTAACTCTGCTAATTTTAGTTGGTTATAAAAATAGCAAACTCATTGATATTAATGTGTTACATTTGAGAACTGTTAATAACAGAGCTACATAATAAGGCCCTCGTGATTATAATAGTGAAATGCACTGTTATGATGGAAATATTGCTTTCATAAAACCTAATTTTGATTACGAAATCAATTTCTATCAGAAAATAATTTCGTAATGTAAATTTCGGTTTAAGAATAAACTTTTTCATAGTTTCCAAATATTATAAGTGTCAATATTTACCACTTTAGCTGTCTAGTTATAGGAAACTATAAAAATATTCATAAATAATTTGCAATACATTAAATAGTCATTTGTCCACAATTTTCATTATAAAAAACCGATCATAAGACATAATAATTTGGCTAAAAAATTCAGTGAACAATTCTACATTTTAATATAATATCAAATACTAGAAATATGTGTTTAAAAACCATAACTTTTCTTTAATTTTAAAGAAATAATATTACTAGCAATTTGAAAATTTCTATAACGCTCGATTGCAATTAAAGATAGGTCAGAAAAAATAATACTGTGAAAAAAAGAAGTTTTCTAATAGATAACCGATTGCCAATCATTATATTACAGATAAGGTCACTTCCCATTTACATTATTATTTTTTACGACTGAGCAAATATCTCCCGAACACCGAATTACAATATAATAAATAATATACCTACAAAATTATTGTCAACTCGTTCAAATAAGCATTATGTTACATTTGTATTCGATTTCTTATATATAGCCCAGGCACCAGACAAAGCTTCAAAGGTTTGAATAAGTATTTGATTACAAGTTGTAAATAAGAGTGTACTTTTTTTAAATATTTTCATGTTTGGATGAAAATATTTGTAGCAGTAATTCAGTGTTGCCCTATCTCCCAATTCTATGGGAGTTTTCAAATAAAAACTAAATTGGTACTGGCAACACTGCAGTGCTATACATTCACATTATAATTGTAACGTCGTACATAATGTATAAATAATAAACATTGCTTATCAGAATACGCTATGCACAGATTTGAATTTAGAAGCATTTGATTTTCGTTCAGAAACCCATAAGAATTCAAAAGCACAAATGTCAAATTTTGAACATTTGCTAAAACCTCATACAAGTTATTTAAGCTGTGTCTGACGCCGGCTTTATGGATATGATGCACGTACATAGACAATAAAAATAGTATAATAATTTTTTAAGTAAAATGCTAACAATATGTTAACAATCTAGAAAATGATTAATATATTAATAATTGCTGTCAATACGACTTTTTATTCACGACTTTTAGTGAAGTTAGTTTTACAGCCATATTTGAATAGTCGTTTCTTCGATTTAAATTTAAAAACATTTGTATTCATCAGTATGTCTGTTTCTATTCACCTGGGTCTTTTCTATGGCCTAGGTTCTTTCTAGACATGTTATGCATGTATTAACAAAATAAATATTTTGTCAATGTAAGCATTTATGTTAATTGTCTATTACTCATCATTCGGTTTTTTTTTACACTAAGTATATGGACGCCTGAAACACGAGGGGTGTACGATGCCGACTCTTAATAAACCCCATGCTGTAATGTCTCGAGAAAACCTCAAACTCAACTTAGTTTCGGACTAAATGTGTTTTTCGCTGTGAAATTACCAAGTTATTTATTTATTCTATATAAAAATACTTCTATGTACGTCCATAACATCATGAGTAATCGAATATGCATTTAATACAACATAATATTTAATGTGATACATTAATAAAATCAATAAATATTTAGATTAAATGATTCAATTCAACCCTGCACCTAACTGATAGTGACTAAAATCAACTACATACATTTTATATACAAAATCGTTAAATAAAGTAAACGGGTATTGATTTATTCATAATTCGTTGCAATACAACACGAAAAAAAAATATAATAAATAATATATATCTATAAACATTCAACAATTAAAATCTAAAACACAGTGCCACGAGCATTCCTTCGTCGTCAAATTTAATCACTATCCAAATAAAAAAATAATGATTCATTGATATTATATTTTAAATAAATTATTTTTGAATGCTCGCAACACTGAATGTGGTTTATTTACTCGACCGTTGAGTTTATTGTTTTGTTTTTAATAAGCCCAATGTGACGTAGTATAAATCGAGCAATATTAAACCCAGTGTCCATATAATTAGGTGCCGTTATAGCTCGGCGGGGTTGTGTTGGGATCACCTCATATGGGCCGCGTGAAATTCGCGGGGAACATGCCCTTCTCGTTGGTTGACTCCTTGATGCCCATTAACCAGCCTTCCTCCTGTAAAAGAAAATTTTTTTGTAGTATTATTAAGAAGAAACAAATAAAACCTAAGTGAATTTATTTTATTTATTTGTTTTATTGACTACTAAAATTGGTACAAAAGGTGGACTTATAACTATAGCATTCTCTCCCAGTCAACTTTTGGGAAGTGGAAAGATACTTGAATGCGTTTAAAAAAAATTATGAAAAGAAAATAAATTCAATTTATTCAATTCAATTCTATACTGGATTTTCCTTTGTTCTTCTTAGTGATCAATTTTGGACCGTAATCAGATGACTATGTCTGGTCGCCGTATAGTAAATACTAGGCTTACAAACTATATCCGAACTCTACTGATTAGAATAGAATAGAATATAAAATCATTTAATCAAAATCACTTATTTTAAGCACTTTTGAATAGTCATAAAATTTTTTTTATCTACCGCTCGTTCGGAAAGCTGTCTCATCACAAGAAGAACGAGCAAGAAACTTGTGTGTTGCTCTTTTAAATTATCCTTGTAAGTTTACATTTACAAGTCGAAACGTGTGACTACCAACAACCACTATATTTTTTGGGTCAAATATAAATATACAATAAGATTAAATCAGTCGTAGTGATAAGAGCAGACCAGTCCCTACAAGCAGCACTCGTTCACGAGTATGACGGATGAGCCAGCCATCACTGCGCTCGACCATATTTTAGGGAGTCCAACGACCCGGCCCACCACGCCGCCACATTGCCCGATGCCTCGTTTAGAGGCGAAACACGTATCTCAGTATGAGTGTAGACTCAATAACGGTCCGAGTTTGATCACTAATATGAAAGATATAACGCTTCTAGTAGCGGTGGTATGTATATCTAACATTAAATTAAAATCCCGTGCATGAACAACTATTGCCATGCGCGCTGGTCATTCAAGTAATCGTTTAGTTAGTAATAGGTCCTGCTCAGTAAATATGATTTAACAGATGTTTTGAATTTATTTAAGGGTAATTATTTAAGGAAATTAATAATAAAATTATATACCTAACGATATACGGAATAAAGGGTACCTGTTCGTCGGGGTCGTCATACTCGACGACGCGGATGACGTCGCCGACGTCGAAGGAGAGCTCGTCGGAGTCCTCGCGCGTGTAGCGGTAGGTGGCCCGCACGCGGTACAGCGTCCCCGACGGGAGACCGGCCAGCGTTGCTCCTGAACATACATACACACATTCCTACCAACTCCACTAAAACCTTATAAATTACTCTATTTTTAATTATACTACTTAATAATAATGCTGGACAATTCACACAACGTCACCTACTCCCTGGGGGATTCCTAGTAGTGTACCCATTGCTAGAAATGTACCATGTCAGATTAATCTCCAACTGGTTTCCCTGGAAACCATCGAGACAAATTTCTGGTGAAATTATCACGACGCTCATAACTGATACAAATACTTAGTTTTTTTTTCAATACATATAAAACTAGCTACTCGCACGGATGTACATGTATTATATATATAAACCTTCCTCTTGAATCACTCTATCCATTAAAAAAGACCGCTTCAAAATCAGCGGAATCAATCAATCGGACAGACAGCGACAGCGACTTTACTTTATACTATGTAATGATATACACAGTAAACACCCACAAAGATACAAACAATCATACTCATCAACTATTGTATAGTTTGTACCGTAAAGGGACCCAGGAAATAAATCTCTTTTTTTTATGATGATTTTGTATGATGACGTAGTAATTTGATTTCAGTCTGACCTGTAAAGAACCTTATCCATCACTAACACTGGTGTTACCATATACCATTACACCGAATGGAACCTTACCAGATTATCCTTTAATACTTTACTACTACTGTAATAAACCATTAATTACAAAAATATTATAAAAAAATATTTTATAATTTTACTTTTGATTTTTTTCTAATACTAATAGATCATTAAATTATTAAATAACATTTTACAATTTCAAGAGTTTTACTATTGAATTTTCTCCTAATCTTATATTACCACCCGCCCCGGTTTCCCGCGACTGTACACGTATTATACAAACCTTCCTCTTGAATCACTCTATCTATTGCTAACAACTGCATTAAAATCCGTTGCGTAGTTTAAAAGATCTAAGCGAACAGACAACGAAGCGACTTTATACTATGTAAAGATTAGAACAAAAGTAGACAATGTTCTTTCAGAATATGTCCCATTATGTCCTTAAATCATGCACCCTGCTGTATTCCTATAAAACTAAGTTTTCTGGAAGATTTCTTACTTGAAACCTATTTAGTGTCGACCAATTATGTTTGTATACGTAAGTATATTTTTGGCAAGGTACAATTAATTAATAAATTAACAAGAATTATAACACACTCAAACATTATCATATATATGCATATAAAGAAGCCAACAGTAAAATGCTGTTAAACATGCAAAACACACTCAAAAACCTATATACATATATAGCGGGATACCTTTTGTAAACAATAAGTTCACCTAAACATAAAAAGAATATTAATATATACAATATAAATAAGAGATGAGGAAAATATAAACACATAAAATTATTATTATAAAAAATCAATCCTTGTAATACAATATTTGAACTAAATATAAAAAAATACCAAACGTCTTTTAAACCTATATTATCTGTTCTCTAAAAAATAATTACAAACCATTTATAAACCTATTTTATTTGCTATCCAAATATTCTCTGATTCAAATAGATATTGTACAAGGTAGGAAAAGAGATTGAAGCTATAATAACATTGCTAGCAATGCAGGTCAGGTTGACCTCCACGCGGTTCCACATGTAAACTATCGTGATAAATTCCTGGTGATTATTCATAGTCAAATAAATTTTAGATGTAATGTAAATATGTAACTATTTAAGAACCTAACATACTCACTATTGTGATCCTAAGCTCCGAAATGAACGACGAGAAAAAAAAAATTCCTGGTGAATTTGTCACGATGTGCTAACTGACCTGACCTCACACTCATCCTAGCATCCTTCACTTCTTTTCATATCCTTCTTTATTATCAGGTGGACAGTGAGCTTGTTTGCAATTCTTGGTAATAAATATGACAAAACAGTCTTCAAATTAATATAGATTTGTAAATACTCATAGTGATTTATATACTCATTGGATCTATATACTGAACTGGACGTTAGGGAAATAATTATAATATAAAAAATTTGACGTTCATAAGCGGCTAAAATATCCTACATGAATAAATGATTGATGATTGTTGATTTTCGAATTCTAATTTATATATTTTGTTATACAAAATTTGTTAGTTGTACTTTTAGCTAGGTTCATACAATTTGTAAATGATATTTAAACTTAAAAATTGCATGTAGTTTCACAACTTATAATTATAATTTTAATGTGTTTCCGAATAGAAGGAATGTGCACAAAGTATATACATATACATATATATATTTACAGGACCACTTACCATAGAAAGAGCCAAACTAAACCCCCACCGATGGAACTTTTTATCAGAATACATATATACATAGAATGTTTCGTGAGTCGAAAATGAATATATAAACCTATTCACATTAAGAGTGACATTTTAAACACAATCATCGTTTTATAAACAAATAGACAATAATATAGTAACAACAAAATGTTTATATATGATTATTATTACTACAGTATTGTGATTATCAAATAATTATCAAGTAGAAGTAAGAAACAATAGGGAATAACAAAAAGATCACAAAAGTATCCATATATAAGCCACTGGTATTTAAAATAAAAATGCAAATTAATACTTGGCTTTGAATATAAATTTCAAATCTGATATAATTATTACATTATCCCAAAGTGGGTTTAATTGTCAAATGGAAGAGAATATTTCGCAGAATCGGTTTCGGTGTTGCCACCACCGAAGAGTCGTTCCGTAATATAAATTGACACATTAAAGTTTTTATTGTCGTTTAAATAATAATTTAATTTATATAGTAGACACGGTATAAATAATAATAAAAATAAGATATTATTCTATATAATGATTTTGTTTCATTTAATATCGATATTAAATTATATAAATAATAATACAATAATATGTTAGTTATATTACGATTTTAATATATTTATACTATATACCACTCTGATTGTGAAGAGGCTTTTACAATAAAATCTAAACTCACCAACGGGTATGTCGTAAACCTCATCACCCTTGTGCTCAATTGCACTATCTTTGCTCTCTTTCTCACTCAGCTTTTCTACATCTACTTGTCTCTTTTCTTCATTCTTAGGCGACTTCTCGGGGACTACGGGCGTCGGTGATCCTGGGAGAATTGCGTACTATTGTCTACAAATCATAACCGGACCTAGCTTTGTATGTACATTGTATTTATAGGGAGGTCTTTGTACATCGGGCGATAAAATGTATGATGATAAATTAGTAATGACTCGTGTATGGACAACCATGCATTTCTTTACAACTAACATCTAATTAATGCAGGTAGCTGATTACCACTGATCGGAGTAGATAAAGCTATTCAGGATCATTGGCCTCAAACATTGATGTTAATATGGATATTCCACGGGATTCCAACAAATACTCGTAATTCGATATTCGATTATAATTTTTTTTTTTATCCATAAGAGTAAAATTCAAAATATCCTTATTCATGTAGGTCTAATACAGATTCTTATGATATGTCAAATCTACCGTCAGTTCGGAATCATTTCGAGATGAGAAGAACTGACAAAAAACTCAGCTCGTATTATTTTCAAATAAATGTTGTAAATGTTTACAAGAATGCAGATTCATTTTTAGATTTAAATTTAAGTGAATAGAGTGACAACCAGCATATGCTATTGCAAAAGCAAAAAGTCTAATCAATGTTCGTAACCTGAATAGACCAGTCCCGACAAGCAGCACTCGTAATAAATATAAAAATAATAAAAAATACAATATATTATAAAAAAAAAATGGTACATGTAAGTCCATAACAATAATATATAAATTTACAATGCCGTGCGAGCGAGTTTGCAAATTTTACATTAGCAACACTGTCAAAAATTTTTGACAAACGCGCGACGTTGTCTCTTTGTTGACATTAGTCGTGAATTCAATTGTTTACCGAAAGTACCTTGTTGTTCAATCTTGTCTCACTCAATTACTTTGATTATGTCTAGCTATTTATGCCTCAGGGAGATTATTATCTAAAGCGTAAATATCTTTTTATTATTTTTCTACTTAGAAAACAAATCCTGGTATTCGGGGAACATCCATATTATTCTATCATATGACAAGTATATAAAATAGCTATACCTACTCCGATCGCTGCTCATTACCTTTACCTTTAGTACAGTCGAACGGCTCTGACAAGAACCGAACCGGGGTTAAGTGTGGAAGACGCTTAATAAGCATAATACCCTATATTCACAAGTTCAAAATTAGTCGTCGATACTTCGACCATCCTTTCCCATCGTAACCCTCAAAATATACAATGCGACCACCAAAGACCTAAATCGGTCGCGAAAGATAGCAGCGTACTCACCGACTGGAATGTCATACAACTCCTCGACCTTCCTTTCGGGGGAGGCGTCGCCCCCGTTGGGGGTCTTCTCCTCGTCGGAGTGCCGGGCCGGCACCGGCGGAGCTTCGGCGGCCTCCGGCGGCGGCGACGGCGACGGCGCGGACACGGACAGCGTCGCCGGCGTGGGCTCCCCCGCGGGGGTCGTCGACCCGTTGGTGTCGGCGGGGGGCGACGCGGGGGGCGCGGCGGCCTCCGAGGAGGGTGAGGGGGGCGCGTCGCCGTTGAGCGCGGGGGAGGGGGGCGCTACACACACGTACACACCATGCAACGCCACACGCAAACGACAGCGACTGTATCCTTATTATTTATTGCTTTACCCTTCGTTTTATCGTTGTATCGATAGCTGCCTTTACGCGATGCGTTCTATAACGCGCGATCTAGAGCACGCGCAATCGTGTGTGATTACATTTTACTATTTTTTTTGTGATCAGTCTTTCGTGCGTGATAGTATGCACGTTTCAAATCATTTCCCTATCTTTTAAAAATGTATATCTTATTTCACTATAGATTTCAATTTCTAAACACACGTTTAATATTTATAAATGATTAATAAATTAATTATTACAAAAAGGCGCTAAAGCACTTACGATTAAAGAACGCGACAATGCGCTCACTGGCGGCGCTTGCGATCTTTCTCGTTCTCTTTAATTTAAATGCACATTTTTTCTTCGTAAAAGAGCGTACGCGTAAAGGCATAAAGACGCGTAAAGGCAGTTAATAAGTCGAAGGTAAGAGAAAGTTCGGTGACGCAATATTTTTATTTACCTTAATGAGAAACAAGCGTAACAATATATATATTACGTTGCTCTATGTTTATATTTAATCAGTTCCAGAAACATGTCCGTCGGTACGAGTATGTTTCAAATTACAATATGAGTAATACAATAAATAATGTCAAACAGTGCACTCGGATTAAGAAATGAGTCAAGGTAACACGACGACCTAAATAGTCGCTGAGGACACATTTAGATCGCGAATTACGCATGGTTATTGTGAGACTTAATCATTATTAATTCTATACCAAAGACAACAGCTTATTAACAATAAACTCTAATAACTTATACATAAAGTTAAATTTACGTCGCTGTCTCGTAATAACCATAGAAACAACAATCAAACCAATAATTAGTAACAGGATTTTAATAATGCAAAAATGTATACAACATTTTCAATAAATCTTTAATAGGGAAACGCCACAAACACATAAGCTTTCGATTAGTGGTGCTATTGTGAGTGATTCCTACCGTAAAATTTTATTAATAAATATAAAATCAATACGTAAACTATCCAGAATTATATGTATCGTAGCTAACCCTAATATTATATCTTTTTTAAACCACGAAGTTGGCAAACAATCCTATGGTAACAAATGGTTACCGTAGCCTATGGACGCTCGATACACCAGGGGTGTCACAATTGCGTTGTCAACCCTTAAGAATCCTTAATATATCCTTCTTGAAAACCCCATGCTGTAGTCTCTGAGAAAATCTTAGCAGATAGTTCTACTTAGGTCTATATTATATAGTATAAAAGTTATTCTGGGTAAGCGCGCTACATCCTAGCTCTTACCATCAGATGAGATAAGACGAAGCTCAAACCCATTATTAATAAAAAAGTTTCTCACCGTCGAAGTTTAAAAGACACAATTGTCTAATAATTTTAACTACAACTCATCAATTTGACCACAGACTATTAACAGACCCTATAGCTTTATCGTATCACCTTTATGAGGGGATTACAAGTAATTCTCTTCTAGATTGGAATCACGTCCATAGTGAGAAACTGGTCGTAGAATCAATAACCCAATATCGTTATACCCCAGAATGTCATATAATCTAGTCTTATTTATTTATTTATTAAATCTTTTATGCACAAATACACAAATATATGCATATTTCTCCCAGTCAACCATTGGGCAAACAGAGATCTATGTGCGCAGTGCATTAAATCTTATCTGCAGCCTCGGCGTCTACATTACGTAAATCTATAATTGTTTAAGTATTTCTCAATTGCGCAGCTATCGCAGAGTACTTATTATGTATTGGGACTTCCAGGTCCCGGTGGTCACGTGTGCACTAGTACATACAGTGACAGAGGTGTGATTTCATATTACAGTGCTAGACCCATCTAACCAGAATACCACATGTTACCTTCCTATACAAGGTTAGTTTTTCAGATTATACCAATTCGAAATAGAGTTTATTTCAGTAACTGCAGACAGAAATGGATGAAGCAGTTAATTTATCTATACATATAAATAAAATTGGAGTGTCTATTTGTAATATTGAAGTAACTGTTTTTTTACATGCATATTAATATAAATACGATACATAAACTAAAATAACATTTTTTTGTCTGTCTGTCTGTTTGTTCCAGCTAATCTCTGAAATGGCTGGACGGATTTTGATAGGTAGCTGATGTAATAAGGAGTAACTTGGGCTACTTTTACTTTAGAAAAATTCTTTTATTGAATGTATGAAATATATTTTGATATGTTCACTGTGTAGTTTATTTTTATTAGGGTGTTTCGGCTGTTATCTGGTGCTTGGACCTGTACTCACTGCGACCTACATAGATCTATTGTGCTCACCCTTTTCACTTTGTAGTTGTTACAAAGACTATTTATTGATAGCAAATATTTTTTTCAACTAAAATACCAGTAATATTTATTGAAACTAATAGATTGATTTTCGAATTGGTAAATAGACAGGGACTATTTATTTATATAGTCAAACACATGAACATGAATAAATTTATGGTAAATAAATGTATTTACCATAAAATTATTCTTATTAAAACCCGTTTAACTACATTCATAATGTGCACCAAACGCGCAAGTTTAAAAATAACCCCTGATTAAAAATAATTCCTATACAGTATTGTAGTGCAGAAAAAAAGCATAGAATAAATTTTCAATAGTTCCTATGGAAAATTAATTGTAATAAAATATTATTCAGAGTGCACAGAGCAATCTACGCTAAACAAAATTTTTTCTATATAACTATACCCTGCACCCATATTTTCTAGATTATGTTCAGTATAGTAAATAGTGTAAAAACACAGTGCTGCTCGCCAGTTCTCTTACTTGAACTCGGCTTTGACACACTACCGCGTGTCTAGATTAAAATAAAAAACATATATTTCGTCTACATTTATATCGAAGTGCCTTCATATTATCAATTATTGTATAGAACAAGCTGATGCATTCACAAAATATTTTATTTTGAAGTTGTCAACTATCAGTCAAAATGTTACTAATGTGGTCTAATAACCCCATTGCTATTACTATTGCTAATAAAGTACAATTTTATGACATCGCCAATATTGGCTATTGACTTGACTTCATGCTCATTTTATCTCCACTGGTGCCCCGTATGAATAGAATGGTACACCCGCACGCGCTAACGGTATACGCTGGCGTACCGTTAGTGCATGGGTGTACATTCTAAAATATCGTATCTATCGGATATACTGTTGCTGGAAGATATTTTTGACTCCATACAATTAACACCATCATAAAAGCCGTGTATCCAACACCGATGTTGTATGCAATAGTACTCACTCTGCACGGCCGGCGCGGAGTTTCCGTTGTGCGCGGCGATCTGCGAGTTGGCGATGGGCGAAGCCGCCGGCGAGATGTTGTTCAGCACTGTCTTCTTGTTGTAAGAGCCGCGCTGGCAGTCGTTGGCCAGTTTGTCAGTGATGGCTTCCAGCTCCGCGAACACCTGGAAATTATTATTATGAGGATATCATAGAGATACATTACTACGTGAATCAGAACCATCCTAAACCGTACAGTTAACAATAATAATTATTATTTTCATATATTATATTTCAAAATGCACCTTACAAAGCGGCTTATATGTTATACTAGCTTTTACCCGCGGCTTTGCTCGCGTTAATTTATCCCCTTAGGGTTGGAATTTAATTATCAAAATACTTTCTATGGGGATGCCTACGTCATAGTAGATTTATGTATGCAAAGTCTCGGCCCGATCGGTTTAAAATTGACAAAGTTTTTATACAAACACTCATCCCCTATTTTATTCCATTAGGGGTAGAATTAATCAAAATCCTTTCTTAGCGGACGCCTACATCATAACATCTACCTGCATGCCAAATTTCAGCCCGATCCGTCCAGTGGTTTGCGATGTGCGTTGATAGATCACTATGTCAGTCACCTTTGAGTTATATATATTTAGATTTCTGAGAAAATGCATTGTATAACACTTGTATGAAGCATTATTAAGATATAAATAATCTTTAATATTATTTAAGATATAAAGGAATTGTATAATAATTTTATAGAGAAATTGCTGATAAATTGTGATATATATATATTGCAGGCACTTTATAAACTGATAAAATTCTGTTTTGGTAGTCAAATTCATTATATAACTTATAGATATTCTAGACATAATTTTAGTGCATTTTTTTATAATAATGGATTGATAAACAAGATGTATCATAATCATGAATCACCAGCACATCAGGTCATCACGTGACACCCTCACGTCAAACTCCTCAGTCGTTGCTATCTCTGAGGATTATGATGTCATGCGTCCTATCCTGTAATTTTTCGGACTACACTAATGCTGTTGGTCGCAGCTGGCCTTTATCGCTTCACAGAAAGAAAGAAGGCGAGTGCAGATGGCACTCCAAACCAAAGGAAGAACTTCTGGAGCGGCTGAAGGACAACCAAGGGCACCGCTAGGGGTTAGAACGATGGCTCAGTATGTTGTAATTTTGATCTCCGTTTGACTTGGACAGTGAGACTGAGGTACCTACTCAGACGTTTTACAGTCCACTTCTTCAAGACCTTCGAACTCTCCAAGTGGAACAGTTGTTCGGCGCTGAACAGAGTTTGAAAGACTAGTATGTAGAAGAACTACACATGCCGACGACATTTTACAGTCTACCTCTTCAAGGGCTTACCATGAAACTCTCGAATGGAACAGTTGTTCAGCGAAGGTTGTTCATGTAGAAGAGTTACGGACGCAGACGATGTTTTTTCCAATCTACCTCTTCCGAACCTTACCTTCAAACTTTCCGAGTGAAACAGTTTTTCGGCTCTGAACAGAGTCTGAAGGTTGTTCACGTAGAAGAGTTGCGGAAGCAGACGCCGTCTTATAGTCTACCTTCGAACTCTCCGAGGGGAACTGTTGTTCGGCGCTAAACGAAGTCTGAAGGTTGTTCAACTAGTAGAGTTACGGACGCAGATGACATTTTACAGCCTACTACTTCAGAAGCTTACCTTCGAACTCTCCGAGTGGAAGAGTTGTACGGCGCTGAACAGAGTCTGAAGGCTAATCACATAGAAGAGTTACGGATGCAGACAACATTCTAAAGTCTTATCACTTCAGAATCTTACTTTCAAAATTTCCGTGTGGAACAGTTGTTCGGCGAAAGTTGTTCATGTAGAAGAATTACAAACACAAATGACGTTCTACAATCAACTTTTTCAGGACCTTACCTTCGAACTCTCCGAGTGGAACAGTTGTTCGGCGCTGAACAGAGTCTGAAGATTGTTCACGTAGAAGAGTACTCTTGAGTCGTACAGCGCTGGCAGCTCGTCGTGCAGTTCCGAGTTCAGTATTTCGTATGTCCGTTTTGCTTCTTCTAGTTGTTCACGTCCTTTTGTCACCTGAAACAGAGAGAACAACCTATCACTACCCGATTTAGATCTCTAGGAAATTGTCTCATCATTTCCTTGATAAATATCATCCATAAACGACGTCCTAAGCGGTTTACACACTGCCTTACTTCCTATAGTCGCGGGTGTGATTCCTCGTACACACAAACACAATTATTTGTATTCATGTGTATGATTATTACTATTGGATGTTTCCTATGTATATTATGTATATATTTAGTACACATAACTGCCTTACTGGACTGAAGCTGGACCTGGCCTACAGGTTATTATTATTATAAAAAAATAGAGCAATAAATTGTAACAATATATTCTAGTGAATTCTCGTAACTTGTAATTCCACTGCCTAATCTCATACACAGGTAGATTTGTCGTATCAATCGAAAATATAATTGTAACGATCCATCTTTCCATTATTTGATACAAAATTGGATGCTATATCATACCAACACACGTGCTATTTAACTATATTTTGACATGAATTTGATGGATCAAAACAATAATCGTACCGTGTATGGGGACCTTTACAGCTAGATCTTATACACTGCTGGTCTCATCATTTACCTTAACGTCGTCCCTTCTTTTCGCGGCGTTTGCTTGCAAGTTCTGGAAACTGTGCCTTTGACTGTCGTAGTCTACTAATTTACGTCCTCGCTTTTCAACTTTTTTCTGGAAGCAAATAATTTGAATATTATATTTTATTTAAAAGTTAGTAACATTAATATAAGAACAAGCTTTAATTAAAGACCTTAAAGAAAAAGTGTTTTTGAAATTAGAATGGCGAATAAGATCTCGGCCCACCTAACAGTAAGCGGTAACCGTCGTCTATAGACATGAACAGTAACCATAGACATAATGTCGTTGCTTGGTCTTCGTACTGATATTAAGGTATTAATAAGGACTAAGCCTTTAGGCCTCCTGTAATTTCACTGCTTTATCTAACGCTTCAAGTGAAATATATTGATAATAGACGATAATATATGCGCGTTGCCTACCCTTAAGAAACCGTAATATAATATGACTTAAGTAATAACACCTTAATATAATAATATAAAGCAGGGCTTCTTGAAAAATCCCATGCTGTAGTCTCTCTAGAAAACCTCAGCAGGTAGTTCATTCCACAATCTAAGTGTACGCGGGGGGAAGCTCCTCTGTAACCGCACTGTCTGAGACCACTTAGGTTCCAGCTTGTGGGAATGAATTCCCTGTCGATGACGAGCGGTGCGATGGTAAAAGTTATCCGGGGGCATCATGTCGAACAATTCATTAAAACACAGTTTTTGTGCTCTGAAACCGTAGTCCGAGACTACTTAGGTTCCAGCGTGTGGAGATGAATTCCCTGTCGATGGCGAGCGATGTGATGGTAAAAGATATCCGGGGGCACTATATGAACAATTCATGAGAACACAGTCGTTTTCTTTTTTCTTTTATAGTACAGGGTACAAACGAGCCTGCGGTTCACCTGATGGTCAGTGATTACCGCCGCCTTGCCGCAACACCAAAGGAATTGCAAGTGCGTTGTCGGCCTTCTTATGATCTAAACTCACCTTGACTTCAGGGAACTGGTTGGTATACGTGTTGAGCGGTATGAGTACTTGGTCGCCGAGTTTGTGCGAGAAATCTTGCCACAGCATCTCCATGCTTTGAGCCTGGACGTACAGCAGGTCGTGGCCGGACCAGCCGCTCTCGTACGCCTCCGTGATAGCCTCCATCAAGGATTTTGATGCTGTTTGGACCGCTGGAAATATTATGTACAATTGGATCAAATACTTATATAGATAGACTAACTTCGTCTGCTTTTCATTTCCCCACCTTTGGAAATATTTTCATTACAGCTCCCATCCTATTGGTCATAGCGTAATATTATATACGTCTTTCCACGTACTCCCTCGACAGATGACTATCCAACACAAATACTATTTTTCAATTCGAACCAGTAGTTCCTGAGATTAGTGCGTTCAAACAAACAAACTACAGATTTATAATATTAAGTATAGATAGATAGAATATTATATTTTTATTTGTATTGTACAGTAAAAGAAAATAGTTACATTTAAATATTAATCAATACATGATAATATTAATATGCGAAGCAAAAACTTTGTACCCCTTTTTAAGAAAACTGCGCAGTTGGAAGAGTATAAAATTTCATACACTTACTTAATGTAGAAAGAAGGAGAGCAGAATATATATATTTTTTGAATTATGCATAAATAATCAATAAACAACATTACCTACACTATCATATATTTGGCATAATACACGTATATGTCAAATTGACAATAAATTAATATTGTTTGTTTTATTTATATATATATTTTATTATTTATTATTTGTATATAATCTTACTAAATTAAATTATTGTTGAATTTCGACCACTGGGCTGGACCACCAATATAAAGAAATCTATATGAAAACAAATGCATATAATGTAAGGAAATCGAACTCGCGACTGTGGAATGTGGGGTGGAGTACTATATTGCTAAGCCGTAGCAATCTTTAAATCATTGTAGGTATACAAGAGATTTTTTCTTCGTATCTACTAGTCTTTATTTTGTTTTACTACTTGACATTAATCAAGACAATGTCTTCCTGACATTAATCAAGACAAAAACTAGGCTGATTTTTTTCCATTCAAGGAGGAATTCAGGAGATTATCATTGCTAGCAATGTACCAAGTCAGGTTGACCTCCACGCGTCACCTCAGGTTTTCCCCCTGGAAACCATCTGATAAATTTCTGTATAATTTGCCACGACGATGGGCTAACTGACCTGACCTCATGCTCATCTTATCATCCTCCACTGGTGCACCACCGGCGTAAATCATTAACGTAGGAGAGAGGTCCATTCCATTATCATCCATTAAAAAGATAGTACTTATCATTATTACATACTACAAAACAAAGTCGCTGTTGCTGTCTGTCCGTCCTTATATATGCTTAAATCTTTAAAACTAACAACAGAATTTGAATCTGTCTTTTTTAATAGATAGAGTAATTCTAGAGGAAGGTTTATATATATAATACATGTACACCCGTGCGAAGCCGGGGCGAGTAGCTAGTGTATGAATATAAAAAAATCACCTCGTATACATCTTATGTAGTTGTTGAACTCTTTCTGTAGCCGCAGCGCCTGCTGGTGCTGTCGGTTGAAGTTCTGAAGATGCTCCTCGAAGATATCGTCGAGGGTGCGGTCTACCTTGCCAAGGTTCTGGAGGAACTGGAACCAAGCAAAAGATAATTATGAGCACCGTTATATATCATTACATAGTATAAAACAAAGTCGCTGTCGCTATCTGTCCCTATGTATGCTTAAATCTTTAAAACTACGCAACGGATTTTGAAGCGGTTTTTTAAATAGATAGAGTGATTCAAGAGGAAGGTTTATATATATATTGTGTACACCCGTGCGAAGCCGGGGTGAGTAGCTAGTTATTATTATAAATGGGTCAACAGTAGTGTCAATTTGTTTGATATATGTGGCATATCTTGAAGACTAATAGTCGTCAAGATATGCCACAATATTTATTACAATCGATATTGGGTTTTACCGATTATTCCTAGAAACAAAAAAAAATAATATATAAAATTCTAGTATCACAGGTTTCGTGTTATATACTCCTCCGAAACGTCTTGACGGATTTTGATGAAATTTTATATGTATCAGAGAAAGATAGATATCCCTAGGTGTTAAGGGTGGCTCACCCCAAAAATTATATTTTAATTTCTTCGACATAATTTTTTATATTTATATTTTTATCATATGGCATTAAAAATACGTACAACCTTAAATTTTTATCCTTCTATCACCAACCCCCATTTTTTAATAGAAATTTTAATTTATATGGCAAAACAACGTTTGCGTGATCAGCTAGTTATCTTAAACAAACAAATATCTTTCAATAAGAATTAGGTTGCAAGTTTCACTGCAATTAGCATGTTGCATTAATTGTGTTACCAGTTAAGTTGTTAATTAACATAACGCCTTCACTACACTTTAATATTATTCAGTAAATTTTGTCACAGCCAACTAGTATTGTATCACTACCTACTATAGGCATTAGATTGTGAAATCAATCCAAACAAAAATTAGAATAAATATTGTGTCGAAAATCGAGTTAGGTACTTCTTTTTTATATCAAAACTAGCTTTTGCCCGCGGCTTCGCTCGCGTTAATTTATCCCCTTAGGGGTGGAATTGACCAAAATCCATTCTTAGGGGATGTTTACGTCATTGTAGCTTTATGCATGCAAAGTCTCAGCCCGATCGGTTTAAAATTGACAAAGTTTCATACAAACTTTCATCCCCTATTTTATCCCCTTGGGGGTAGAATTAATCAAAATCCTTTCTTAGCGGATGCCTACGTCATAACATCTACCTGCATGCCAAATTTCAGCCCGATCCGTCCAGTCGTTAGGGCTGTGCGTTGATAGATCACTATGTCAGTCACCTTTGAGTTATATATATTTAGATAGCTGTGCCTGCGGCTTTACTCGCGTGCAATTCATAGCCTATGTGTTATTCTGATGTATAAGCTATATCACTGTAAAGTTTCAATATCCGTTCAGTAGTTTCTGCGTGAAAGAGTAACAAACATCCATCTCACAAAATTTCGCGTTTATAATATTAATAAGATAATGTCTCGGGACCGTTAATGGTTTATTATCGCAACTTGTGTTAAGGATACTAGACAACTGGTTGATATAATTAGATTTTTTTGTAAATACATATAGAATAATGTAAACAAACACCCAAAATAAAACAAAGAATCACACGCATGAATACAAAGACGTTTATTATAGCAGAGCGCAGTGTTATAAAACAAAATGTATAAAAAGAACTCTCAATTTTAAATACGGATGAACGAATATAAAAACTACCAGTGACTCTCATTGTAGGTCTAACAACAAATGTTTGTACCGTGTGAGGAATCGAACCCGCAAAACATCGGAAGAAAAGCGGCGTGCTAAACCGCTACACTACTGAGGCCGTCCACTCATGCTGTCCGCCTTATGGAATTAATCCGGGAGATTGCGATAAGTCCACTCACAGATTGAAATATCAGGAAATACGCATATGTAAAGTATATGTTCTCTATGAAGGACCACTGGCCAAAGGGTGTGGTGTATCGGCGCTACCTACCAGATTGCCGTCGGCAGTGCCGTGACCACAGACAATTTCAATATCTTAGTTTTAAAATATTAATTCATATGTACGTTAGTCTATAAGGTTTTTATATGTGCCTAGTAGCCTGAAATAAACAAATAAATGTGTTCTCTACAACAGCATTGTTGACAATTGACTCTATATCAACAATGGAGGGGTTTAGTTTTTCAGGAGAAACCTTTCATTCCTAATGGATTCGCTGATATTTTAAGGTTGGTACTTAGACCTGTAGCACTGCGACCTAAAGAGATCTATTGTGCTCGTCCTTATATTATAGTTCGATGCATAGACCCGTCAGGAACGAGAAGCCGTAAGAATAGAATAAATCTTTATTGAAATAAACTTACATTGAAGCACTTATAATAGTCATACTTATTTTTTTTAGTCTACCGCTCATTCGGAAAGCAGTCTCATCACATGAAGAACGAGCAAGAAACTTGCTTATTGCTCTTTTAGATAATTGTTTTGACTTTACATTTGTAAATTGAAATGTGTGAATACAAACTATCAACTAGCACTAATTCAGTCACGATCAAATATTAAGATTGAACCAGTCGTAGTGATTAGACCAGACCAGTCCCCACTAGCAGCACTCGTTCACGAGTATGATGGATTAAGTGAAGATATTAGTAGAATCACTATTCAAATGATTTTAACTTCTAGAACGAATGCATACGTATGTAGTTCTAACGAGTCCGGTACAATACATACATCCATATTGTAAGAGCATGCAATCTGTCATCAAGTTGACCTTGTCACAGACAATCGTTGCAAGGCCCATTGTTTGCAAACTGTGTGCGGTACCTACACCTGCCTTCAACTTGCTGATTACATCTCAGAATACAATTGGTATTCTATACGCATACAAAATGACGAGACCATTACTCAACACAAGTATTATTTGATGACCACTTATCTACATGTTAAACACTACGAAAATTGCGCGACTGGAGGAGTACGAAATTTCGCACACTATTAATATTATAAAGCTGAAAAGTTTGTTAGTTTGAACGTTAATCTCAGGAACTACTGGTTCGTATTGAAAAATTATTTTTGTGTTGTATAGATCATTTATCGAGGAAAGCTTTAAAGTATATAACATTACGCTATGACCATTAGAAGCGAAGCATCGGCGAAAAATGTTGCAAAAACTGGAAAAATTATTTATATTTGAGCTTCCGTTGCGTGCACTGCGTAAACGGTTCAAGTTACCCAAATAATATGTATGAAAGAATTATTCCTCTTTAAGTGATCTAAAAATCTTTTAAGATTGACTCACTATAACCTTTTTTATGGTAATCAAATTTGGGAGCAAAGTGATGTACGTTATGATGTATCTATATATATTACTAGCTGTCCCGGCAAACGTTGTTTTGCCATATAAATTAATAACGCTATAAAAAAATAGGGGTTGATGATAGAAGGGTAAAAATTTAGGATTGTATGTTGTATCATAAAAAAATAGAGTAAAAATTTTGTCTAAAAAATAAAAAAAAATTTAGGGTTGGACTACCCCTAACATTTAGAGGGATGAAAAATAGATGTTGGCCGATTCTCAGACCTACTCAATACGCTCACAAAATTTCATGAGAATCGGTCAAGCCGTTTCGGAGGAGTATGGGAACTAAAACTGTGACACGAGAATTTTCTATATAAGATTATAGAGGATACCAATATCCACAAAAAAAAGTCATCCATATACCGGTAAATAGCATATATCTGATACAGTTATGTCACAATAACTAGTTTTTCATGTTAAAATATGAATTAGGAACGCCGGTACAAACTAGGCTACATTATGCTTGTCTTTATCATTTTTGAAATTTTTATTTAATACCCGTTCCAAGCCGATGCGGACGAATGCTAGTGAAATCAATATTTTCTTCTTGTTTATATGTGATCAACCACTTAGCTGATGTTTAAATGATTATTATTACAATGATGACCATAAAGGCAGTTGATCTATTTATTGCACTATGCTTGCTGACAACAAAATTTACTATTCAAGTCATTATTTTGTCTTTAGACTTTGTAATCCTACACAGTAAATATTTGGATTAATGAACAAATAAATAATATTATAAACGCGAAAGAATAAATATTATTTGACGCTTCAGCAATCTCTTATATTCGTAGTATTTGGCGTAGAAGCATTACTTTAGTACTCGGTGGTGTAACGGTTTAGCACACCGTTTTACCGGTTCAAATATTTGTAATCATAAGTATTATCGTTTGTATAGTTCCGGTGTTTTCTATATTTATTATGTATTTATATACAAAACAAAATTTATTTAAGTATAATTGTATTAGTATTATATTTATCTATATTTAGTATTAATGTATGACATTATATAATATCAGGTATACTATATATATTATTATATGTATATATTTATTTTCATTTCATATATATTATATAATATTTATTAGTAATCTTGTGATTGTTTTTTGACATAACTGCCCCACAACGCATATACCCAAAGGTTAGCTGGTGGAGAATGCCATACGGCATTAAGCTCGCCTTTGTACAAGTTATATTGTGCATTAAAGAATAACTGAATAAATAAAATAAATAAATAATACTAAAGGTAAGTAAAGTAAGTTAAGTATAGGACTAGATGATGTTGCGTGAATTGTCCTGGGTTAAATGTCCGTAATGCTGTTCAAATATACAATTGAAAGAATTGTCCAGAGATATTATATTATTAAGACCACGAGACAGAACCAAAAGATTCGTGGACCCATTATAATTAATACTTATATTAAAAAATTATTCATTTTGCCCATAGACACCACCAAGTCACTATTTCACTTTGTGGTCTATCAACGGACTAATATGGATAACCCACTAATAAATATGGAAATGTATTATGACTTGAATAATTTGGTGGGTGCTAATAATGCTTGGAATCTCCAATTATGGGTTGCATGACGCAGTTGTCGAAACAAGGACTAATAAATCAAGACTCTTTTGGATTCGTTACCAGCGCAGAAGGGTCTCGAATAAAATATTTGATAGACAAAAAGATTCAGACTCTCAATTGCGTATCAACT